CAGAAAGAGGAAGGAGGAGAGGAGGATGAGAGCGGAGCCCATTGGAGAGGGTGCTGAAGAGTGAATGTTGCCGGGTTGGTGACATTTATTTATTATAGAGTTAAGAGGGATTGGAATTTAGTTGGGGGTGTGTTCGTAATTAATGGGGGTGGAGTCGGTCTTTGGGAAAGTGGGGAGGGGAGGGGGGGCATTTGCTGCTGCGGTGGACCGGAATAAATGTTCTTTAGACGGAAATGGCCCTGACGGTTGGGTTAATTACTCGCGTCTGTGTTCCGATTTTTTAATTTTTTTGAGATTAAAGAATAGAAATAGCCGTTGGCAATTTCCCAAGAAGGACCAGGGTTCTACTTTGCTGATCTGATGGTCCTGATGCCGAGATCGAGGCAATATGTGATACTGAGTGGGGCCAACGTCACTACAAATTTAGTACTATTTATGCTTGTAATTAATGCCATCTTTAGTAACACAAAGAATTTATTATCTTTATTAAAGAGTTTCAACTGATGGAAATGGAGGAGGAAAAGAAAAAAAACAAAACTAGGCTTGATTTATGAATAACTTGAAGGAGTGATTGCATCGTAGTGGAGTGATGATAAAAGGAGAAAGTTGCAGCTCAGCTCGAGCTCAATGCCGTGGTGGTGGGAAGTTGCCTTTAAACATGCTTTTGAGAAACCGATGAGGAAAAGCAACAAAAAAAATAAAAGTGACGGAGAATAATAATTACAGGGAGTTAGGCTTGGGCTAAAAATGTGAACGGGAAACTGGTGTACGAGACCGTACTCATGGGTCCTGAACCGGGGAGAAAGCAAAAGTGGGCCAACCCAACTAGGAAATCGGGACTCCTGTCTGTAGCACACCTTCATGGAGATGCTTTCAAACGGTGAGCACGTGGGTGGGGTTGGTGGTGTGGGGGGGGTGTTTGGGGCGGTGAGTGCGGCTTGTCTGCCGCATGATGAATTGTTGGCATACAGATAGATGGGAGCAAATGATAATGGATTGGAATCCAGAAGGAAATTGGCTCTACATTGTGTGTCACTTGCATCGCCAACAGAATGCTAATGAGTTTATCATTATCAAACGATAACAAACATCATTTTGTGAGGTTAAATGAACATGTAAGGCTAACACACATGTATGACGGTCACCTGATGGTCTGATTCAGTTAAGACTTACCTTAGGCCTTAATGTCTTAGCTTTTATGAACAAGACACTGAGTGCCACCTGGGTTTGCCTAACAATCTGTACGAGTTGCCATGGCTTAAAAGGCGTGGAAGCTTAAATTAGGAACATTGAAGAGAGATTCGGCACTATGTATAAAGGAAGGTGCTTCATGATTACAAGGAAATATCTGTGTGAAACATATCCAACTAAAGAAGGTGCATGTCAAAATACCTCACAAGTTTGTGGATGATGGGGATGCTAGCTACTTAGCTTGATGCCTACTCAATTGATGGATGATTAGAGCCCGAAACACCGTAATTCCCCAAACTTAGGAGCTGCAAACATACATGTTTATCTCATTTAAAAATTGCATGCTATAAACACAAGAAACAGAGAATAATACATGTGAAAATAATAGGTTCTGCCTACCTTCATATTCAGGAGTTGATTACTCGGAGTCAGTTTCCCACAATAACTTTGCGGATGGATCCTGAACTTGAAATTTTGGAAGAATGTAGGAATCAAGAAGCAAAATTTTAAGCAAAGCTGAGGCGGCAGTAAACGAATAACTGTGACAAGTCTACTGAAATACTAGGTCAACCCTTGATAATTCTACATGAAAGGTTACTAAAAATAGGCATAACTTATCTATTATGTCTTTCTCGATTCAAAATCTCAAGGACAGTAATAGAAAAGAAGATATGGAATCTACAGCCAGTTCACCACAAACCTAAGTCTAAAGTTCTGAACAATTGGGTTATGTCTTTTTTACTCAATACAACCAGTCAAGACATCCCTTGCCATAAACTCATATGTTTTTACGTTGAGAAAAATTAAGCATACTTGCATGCATAGTTGCACTTGTTCTCTAATTAGGACTTAATTTTCCTCGACAAAATGAAAGCTAGCATTCTCCTTCTCTATCTTGTAGGGTTTACCTTTCGTCCACCAAATAAATATTAACTGCCTCCCTCCCTCAACCTCTCCCCTACCTATGTTTGCCATCATCAGTTCTTCCTCATGATTACCAGACAAGCAAAAGCAACAAGAACAGCCCGATGATATGCACAAGAATTTAAAGGATCATTTCAAACATCAAATTAGCTGCTAATTAATGATAGCCCAACTTCTTGATCTATATAACTGAGCTTCTTCTACTTCTACTTATTATTATTATTATTATTATTATTATTATTATTATTATTATTATTATTATTATTAAGTACACAATGCAGAGAAATGTATGACAGCCTCGCTAGGGCTGCGCTTACCAGCACCAGTTAGGTTGGAATTAAGACAAACTCTAGCAAATAATGCCTCATCTCTCCACAGCTCACTCTTCAAACAAACCATCAGTAAGACAAAATATCATTGGTAAATGTCAAAATAGTGGAAAGCATGGACCAATAGATGCAACCTATATTTTGTTTAACAACCTGTACAGGTTTTAATGGCTTTAAGAAGTATGACAGATTGTTATGAGAGCAACAAAGATTTGTTAGCCACATAGAGAGGAAGAATACCTTGCTGAAATTACAGTGGGGTTTTGGTGATTCAGAAGAAGCTAAAATACGGTAATACGTATGTGTAAAAAATATCTTGCTCCTGAAGGTCCATATCGAAATAGCTCATAAGTTCTTCATGATGAGATTGTTAGCTTAACTGCCTATTCACTTGATGGATTATTGGAGCCTAAAAGACCGTTGTTTCCTCCAAGTTTAGGATCTGAAAACACACAAGTATATTTCATTTAAAATTTGCATACTAAACAAGAAAAGAGAATAGAAATTAAGAATGCACAAGTAGACAAACAAAATTTTTAGTGATGGAGATACAATGGTAAGCTAAAACACTGGGTCACTGTTGAAAATTCACCCCTTGATCAAAATGTCTTTCGTAACTAAAAATCTCAAGAAACTATTAAAAAAGAGATTGAGATAAAACAGAATATGAATGAAAATGTGCAATAAGAGACAAATAAGTGAGCCAGTTAGGAGAATAAAAGGAATAATAGGTAATATAACAGTCGGGACTATAAGTAGGCTTAAAAATTGTTACTATAGTAGAGGTGAAGACACTGACTGGAAGAAGAACATTCATGTAATGGCCAGAAAGCTTGGGACGACAGTTGTTACAATTATATTTGTGGTTGGTCAAAATATAACTGATACTAGTGCATCTAGCATATCCGTTAGACAATGCTTCTGCGTGATTTCTCTTAATCAGTATATTGATTTTGTCACGCGTCTTATATTTAGAACAGGAAAAAACAGCCTTGACCTCAATTGATCCTCCATTAAATGATTTCGGATCGTTTTAAATAGATCAAATAATTGGAATATTACTGAGACCATCCATCACAGATTTGACAAAGATGGAAACAAGGAGAATGTCATCATTAATGATGTATTCACAATGAAGAACTATGCAGAAAATTAGCAATGATAACTTATAAAAAACTCATTACTGGCTAAGGTTCGAAGAACCAGATTTCTATCCTAAATGAAATATCTCAAATAAGTTAGAATATAGGTCAGAGGGAAAATGGACTGTAATGCAGAATTAGCAGAGAAGCAGGACTTATATGTCAGAAAGCATATAGTTGCTACCCTATAAAATCCTATCTAGAACAAACCTCTCCTTTTTTCAAAGTTCTTTAAACCGAGAGTGGGAGAGATGGGATAAGCTGAGATCATACTTCTTTGTGCCATTAGCATAGAATATACCCCAATGTTTCTCTGTAGTAGCTCCTGGCTTCAGATCTTCATCAAACAGAGAGAATAAAAAGGTCAAAACTGGTACGCCAGGCCTCAAAGGAGTTCCCTTAATTGGATATTGTGTTAAATGATTCACAAGTCTTTGGTTGAATATAGCAGCATTCTGTAGTGATGCAGCGTTATCATCAGCATCTCCCTCTGAAGGCCATCCAGTTTCTGTAACAACTAGAGGCACCTTGTGGAAACCAAGTGAAAATACAGCAGAGTTCAAAGCATCTACCAAAAGGTCAAATAAATTTGTGTACACTAAGCCAGTCTTTGGATCTGTAAAATTGAAGTTCTGTGGATTCCCCAAAAATAAAGCAAAATCCAGAGGGATATAAGGAATCTCTTTAAATGTTAAGTACGGGTAAAGGTTCACCATAAATGGAGAATTTGTTCTGCTAAGAAATCTTAATACAGGTCGGAGAACAGGTTCTGCAATTGATTCTTGGAACAAAGCATCTGAAGGAGGGAACCTTATTGCTAAAACCGCTAAAGAATGAGGGGTAGAGACCTTAATCTTTTGGTGCAACCTGAATTTCTTGAGTGATCTGTACAAGTTTTCCATGGCATTAAGGAGAACGGGAGCAAATTCTGGGAGCATGGTTACTTCATTTCCAACTGCAATAGAAGAGATATAAGTTTCGCGATAGAAAGGAAGGATGCCTTCTTTGACAATACAATCAGCTTTTGTTGGATCAGAAGCCAAAGAATATATATCACCATTTGGAATGCACAATGACAAGGAAATGTTTGTGTTGGCAAAAGCTCTGATTACTAATGGATCCATATCAAAGGTCTTCACATTTTTTATTGCTAATGAGGATATTAGCTTCATTGCAACCTCAGGCGATGGAAGATTGGAGCCTAGTCGACCATAGTTTATTCCAATTTTAGGATCTGGGAAAAAGAAATTGTCTAATATGAGATTTTGAATACAAAATGAAATGGGAGAAAACAGAGGAGAAAAATAAGGAACTGATATTGAGTTTTATTACAGAAACGCAAGAAAATAATGCTTACAAAATGTACAGTTTTACAATGTTACTAGAAAGTAGTGTAAAATGATAACAATATGTTCAATACTGAAGCAGACAGAAAAATTGATGGGATTGAAATGAGTGGGGCAGATAAACTAGTGTAAATATTTTGTAAAATACTGGATATTTAAATAGCATAAGCTGGATAAACACTGAAATGAGGCACATAGTTTGGTTACATAGATATATGATGGCAGACTAAGTTGCATGGAAACGGGTATGGGTACTGGTACGGGTGCGGGTACGGGTAAGGGACACGGCAAAACTGTAAAATGTAGGGTACGGGGACACGGCTACATATACATATCGAATTAATAATGTACATGAGATAATTTTTCCCCCCTTCATGTGTCATTAGAATTAAAATTCTGATCACATTTTTGAGTTTCTTTTATCATATTGATTATCGTGAATTGTAAATTACTCATTTTTTTACTAGACATCTAAACGACTCATTAACTATATAGTTTTGAACTTGGGTATGTACTGAAACTAACCCGACCCGTATCTCATTAGTTTCAAAAGACGGATGTGAAGTGTAAGCTCTACGTCCAGAAAGTCTTTGACAAGTGTTTTAAATTAACACATATATCGTATAATTGAGTACATGTTGTAATAAATGCATAATTAACACATATATCGTATAATTGAGTACATGTTGTAATAAATGCATGCATATATTCAAGAAGTGTCCAAGAAGTTTGGGTACTAGAAAGTGTCGGGTGCGTGTCCGGTATGGGTACGGCTTCAATATAGAAGTACCCGGGTAACATAGATGGCAGATCACACCAAAACACCCATCACTAGCTCAAAACTCTTTACTGTTTACTATAAAAATGAGGTGGGCGATAAAGTACCAATGAAGGTCGAGAAAGCTCAAAAAATAAAGAACAGAAAGAAAACAGACTGTCAATATGGCGTCAATTATCTACATCTTTGTATCCTCGTGCAGGACGGAGACCTGTCATAAATTCTTCACCACCAGTTCAGCAAGCCTATTTTCTTGCCATGCAGTTTAAGCTCACGCAAATGAACAACCCTCCAAATCGACCAATTGCAAAGAGGCATGATAATGTACTTCATAGGGAAGTACACTTGCCAACATATACAAGTCCCAAATGTAATCAAACATCCATAAACCACAAGGATTAAATTAAGATTGTTGTGAAGCACTTAATAATAAGGTAGAGGAGTTTGCATAGACTGTACAGTGCAAAACCTTTTTACTACCTTTAACTACTCAATTGATATGCTTACTCATTGCTCTTCAGGCATTGATATAGTCACGTATTTGAAGTCTCATAATGGAGACATCCAAATTTTAACCAGATGATAAACCTAACCTGTTTGTACGATTGGTGGAAATACAGATCCCATGAAAAAGACAAAATGAATATACTTGAGATAAGACCAAATTCCGTACAAAACAAATGCATGTGATGATGATTTGCTACTCTCCTGTTTTGAGTTTGAACCTATAGAAATGATCAGTTCACTAAGAAAGGGAAGATACCTAAAATAAGGTAACGGCACCTGGACGCATGCAACACACTGAAAAACGAAAAGCTTCTAGGGAAAAAGGCAAAAAGGAATAAAACAGGAGGTACACAATCCAAACATTACATGCGGACTAAACATCCTATCAGACAGTATAGTCAAATTAATTTCATCACCTAACAGATAAAAATGGTTTTAACCTATAAACAAGTGCAGGACATGCTCTCGAAATCCTTTCGTACCCTTTTCTCCTTCATGATTATCTTGCATAAGGTAAAGCTACAATGACAACAGTGCAGAAACTACAGCCAAACTATGTTGAAAACTAATTGTACCATGAAACGAACTTAAATGCATTGTACCACTATACAGTAATTTCATGACTTAATTCCTCAATGGTATAAATCTTTTTAGACCTAACCAATCATCACTTGCGGATATATGCCTGCAGAAAGAAATAGGCAAATTCATAAGTCTATTGGCATGAACTGCAGGAACTTGTCCAGAGATCATAATGGCCTCTTAGCAGTAGGTAAGCTACACTTTCTCAAATGATACTTTATTCCCGTTTAAGGTACAACCAAATGAAATATGCTTGTACTGTAGACTTTGGCAAAAATTCATGATATTGGGATTTGGGAGTAAGAAATGAAATTAGTGGTCAGAGCCAATTGGTGCTTTCAGTTTTATCATACTGACAAAAGAGTTGTGAATCAATTTGTCTTAATATGTTACATGTTGCCGAACCATTTAGACAGGAAATGTTATTTTCTGCCTAGGATGATTATCCAACACCAGCTGCAAAGAATAAGCTAAGAAGCATAAATCTAACGTAGGGTCATCTTTCACTAATTTCTGTACTTCAGGAATCATCACCGATACAAGGTTTTAGCCCTACTTTGGTACACGAACCAATCTCATTCATCAGGCACATACAGTTATTACCATGATCCTGTTAGGCCCAATGATGCTACAATGAGGATAACAAAATTTAAGATATGGTAGAGTCACTGACTTTTCCTAATATAATTGACTTGTATTCAACTTGAACCTGAAACAACAGAAGGCAAAACTGGTTAGGTTGGGATTTGTTCTGCTTGTTACGTGTTTGAGAATCTAACCAAACTGGAAAAATGCAAACCTGAATATGAAACTACATGGAAGGATTACCTCCTCATTGGTTAATACTTTTTCTTAGTACGACCTAGGGTCAGTTTTTTTTTTTTTTTTTTTTTTTTTTTTTTTTGTTTTGTTGTTTTTGTTTTTGTTGT